TTCTAAGCCTCCATAAACTAACTGTTCTGGGGAAATTTCCTAGGTAATTCAAGGAGCTCAGTGAATTGCTCTATCTGGGACTAGGAGTTTTAACTCCAAGGAAGCAGGGGGAGAGAAGAGCAGGAATGATCAGGAAAGATGAAGCAATCCCCGAGATGAAAAGCAGCTGAGACTGGTGTGGGGGTGGAGGTGAAGGAGCAGGAAAATGCTTACTAAGGCTGCTGGATGTCTCTGGCAAGACCTACCACTGCATTTGAAGGGCTTTCTATTGGGAAAACCCTAGCTTCAACCTATTCGACTTTTCAATGCTTCATGGAAATGGGGATTTGGGGTTTAATTTTGCTTTTATTATCAGATACAGGGGCCAAATTTAATGTTTGGTGACTGTAGGAATAGGGGCAGGACACATGGAAGAAGTCTGAAGAGCAATGTGGCCCTGAGAACCTAAGTCCTCCCAGTAACTGAATCTTAAGGGAAAGCTCTAGACTATGAGCAGCCCAAACTTAAGGGGTAAAGAATTACATTCTACCTCTTTTTGGGCAGAGAATTTACATAAATTAGTTGGAATTCTGAGATTTATCTCTTCTCTATTATTTTTTAAACTTTCATATCAGGGACGCCTGGGGCTCAGCAGTTGAATGTCTGCCTTCAGCCCAGGGCGTGATCCTGGCGTCCTGGGATGGAGTCCCGCATCGGGGTCCCTGCATGGAGCCTGCTTCTCCTTCCGCCTGTCTCTGCCTCTCTCTCTCTGTGTCTCTCATGAATAAAATAAATAAAATCTTTAAAACAAAATTCATATCAGTGTGGATTCATGGATATTTAGTTAATATTTTATTTATTTTGTGGACCAAATTGTTCCAGCTTTGGCCACTGGGAACTCTTCCAGTTGAATTGGCTTATGTCCCTTTGACATACCCCTCCCCTCCCATTCTTATGGGCTTTTAAAATTGTTTTTTAAAACAACTCCCTGAGGGGGCACCTGGATGGCTAAGGCAGTTAAGCATGACTCTTGATCTCAGCTCAGCTGATTTCAAAGTTATGAATTGAACCACTGCACTCGGCTCCATGCTGGGTGTTGGAGCTTACTTAAAAAAATAAATAAAAGAACTTCCTTACTTTCCGACAGTATAAGATGTTTCAAGCTATCTTATATATTCCCTGTGCCTCCAAGAAATCCTTGTTCCTTTAATTGGGGAATGGTTATTAGAAACTACATCTGGGTCTAGGTATGCTTGTTACAACCGGAGTATCATTGGTTGTGGACATCTATTGCTAAGAAATTTTAAAATTCAACTTTTTTTTTTTTTTAAGATTTTATTTGCTTATTCATGAGAGACAGAGACAGAGAGCAGAGACATAGAGGGAGAAGCAGGCTCCCCTCAGGGAGCCTGGTGTGGGACCCGATCCCCGAACCCCAGGATCACACCCCAAGCCAAAAGCAGAGCCCAAACTGCTGAGCCATCCAGGGGTCCCTAAAATTTAACTTCATTTCATACTCTAAAGGGATAAAAATCTGTTTTGATGAGCTGCAGCTATTATTTTACAGTCTAGTATTAATTACTTTGGCTTCTTAGGTACTTGGCCTGCACAAAAATTTATTTTTGACAGGTAATACATTTCTGATGACTCTGTTAGGCTTGTCTGTCAGCTCTTGTCCCCTAATGTCTAGTTATGACAGTCTGGAACTAAACATTAGTTGATTAAAAAAATTTTTTTTTCTACCTGACCAGCTATATGGTCAGGTCATTCTACTACCTTCTCATCTCCCCCCTGTGTCTCTGCCTCTCTCTCATGAAAAAATAAATAAAATCTTTAAAAAATATATTTAAAAATTATATAAAAGAATGTTTTCAAATACTATGAAATGGAAGTGTCACAAAGGACAAGAATTTTTCAATTATGCAAAATTTTTGATGGGATAGCTACAGCCAGATGTTTCCCCCTAGCAGCTTTGTGAACAAGATAAATGGGGCAGAATGTCAATAAATAAATTAGGTTGGTTTATAAAGATCTCAAGAACTGTAGTCAAATACCGATGATTCATGTGTCACTGATAATTGGGAGGACTCTAGTGGGCCTAAGCACTTCAGTACATCTATCTCCTAAACAAAGGGGTGAGAGCGTAGATCATGCTGTGGAATTCTGAAGATGATCAGTTTCTGCTGACAACATCCAAAGGAGATTGTTAGTTCTTTCCTCTACAGAAATAAGATTTGTTTTTGTAGAACAGGGATTGACCTATAGTAAGGATCAAAATCATCTGTATTAACTCAACACTAGGGGTAGTATAAAATACTACATGTGTGAAAAAGGGTTTAAGTTCAACTAGTCAGCAGTCTAACTGAATAAATGTCAGAATAGTTAAAATAAGCTGAGACAGTGTGACAAAGTAGTATTTTACCAAGAACCAGGATGGTAAGATTTCTTACATCAACTCTGAGGGAGAAAGACACCACCTGGGGAAGTATTCATTTTGGAGGTCACACTTCAATGACTGTCTTTGGGGGGAGTATTTTTTCAAGGGAAAACAAGATTGTGAGGTTAGTTCAGATTAGTTTACACTGATTCAGTGTTTACTATGGATCACTGTATTAAACACTGTTAACAGAACACTAAAAAATGGGCCCAGTTTGTGTGGTCCAGTAGAGACAAGCTGCTTAATACAGCTGTTAGCACAGCATAGGCTCTACACAATGGGCTTTTGAAGCAGAGTACAATTTAGCCCAGACTGTGAGAGGCTAGGGAAGGCTTTCTGGAGAAAATGACACCTAAGAGGAGTTTGGAATTTAGTTATAGAAGGGCAAGAAACACTGGGAAGAAAACTTTATCCTTAGAAACCATTGAAGGGGGATCCCTGGGTGGCGCAGCGGTTTGGCGCCTGCCTTTGGCCCAGGGCACGATCCTGGAAACCCGGGATCGAATCCCACGACGGGCTCCCGGTGCATGGAGCCTGCTTCTCCCTCTGCCTGTGTCTCTGCCTCTCTGTCTCTCTGTGTGTGACTATCATAAATAAATAAAAATTAAAAAAAAAAAAACTTAAAAAAAAAAAAAAAAAAAGAAACCATTGAAGGTATTAAGCTATGATATGTAGTTCTAAGTATTTGAATATGTAATGGATTAAATTTTTTTGTGGCTCCCAAAGAAGACAACAAATGAAAGCAAATTTCAGTTCAGAATATGAAAATTAATTTAGTGAAACCTTATAGTAAAGCACCCCAACATAATGCAAATTTAGTAAACTGATTGGTGATTGGGTATCTCACAGTAGGTTCACATAATCATTTCATTAACCCACAATAACATGATTCTACTTTTTTATGGGATTGTTTTAGATTCCATTCATATACTAAAACCCTGCCATAATGCTTTATCAATAAGAGCTGTCCAAGTGAGGAAAAGCTGCATTGGAAAATGGGAAAGTTGATCACAGTATATTTTCAAGTATAGGTTGGATGATAATTTGTTGGGAATGCTGTAGACATGATGGTTAAATTTGGGTTAGAGATGCTCTCCAAGGTACCTTCCACCTCTGTGGTCCTACAGCCCTCAAACTATTTGATAGTTTTTGAATAAAAGCAGTGATACCAAACTGCATGGTAAATTTATAAATTAGGGTTTTATTTATACTACATAAAGCTTATGTTTCTTATTAAATCTGGCATAACTCATCAATTGATAAGAAATGTAACACTATTTTTTTAAAGATTTTATTTATTTATTAATTATTCATGAGAGACACACAGAGAGAGGAGAGACACAGGCAGAGGGAGAAGCAGGCTCCATGCAGGGAGCCTGATGTGGGGCTCGATCCCGAGTCTCCAGGATCACGCCCTGGGCCAAAAGCAGACGGCCAACCGCTGAGCCACCCAGGGATCCCCGAAATTTAACACTATTCAAATGTATTTACGTTTACTCATGGTTACAAATACTATTAAGGCAAAGCAAAGCTTCAAACCCGAAACTTGTTTGCGGCCCAAGTTAGTATTCTAAGCCTACACATCTGGCTCCCTCCCTCTACCAATTATTTACTATAACAATCTAGGAAAGTTGGATGTATTGCCACTGGAAACTGAGAAGGGTGGTAACAACATATATGAATCCTTCAAACTTTGCAGCAGATGAAAGAGGCACAACAAGCTTGCCACTCACTGTACTTGAAAAATGTGCTACCTAGGAGCTAGTCTTCCAGGAGTGAGATCAACTCATAGCCCACTCAGAGCCTGCTGAATGGAATGGGAGGATGCCTGGAAGGTAAAGAAATGGACACGGGAGCTTAGGCTGCAGCAAGACATTCATATGAAGGGAAATCAGTCAAAGGAAAATTAATAGCTATGTTTTTATTATGGAAATCATGTGATTACTGCTGGGGAATGTATATCCTTAAATATAACATGATATATTTCATTTTAATAAATCATATATACGTTGATGGACAGAAAAGGGAATGAAAAGGCTATGGTCTCTGAGATTATAAGTACTTAAATTTTTTGACTTTTTTCTGTAATGAATTACTTTTGTAATAACAGAAAGTCTTAAAAATTAGTCTCAGCAATAAAACCATAAACAGATTAAAAATTCCTATGGCAACATTTTCTTTCCATCTCTGATTCTTTGGAATTCAAGTTACTAACTTTATTAAATATTTTTGAGTCGGGCAGCCCAGGTGGCTCAGCAGTTTAGCGCCACTTTCAGCCCAGGGCCTGATCCTGGAGACTTGGGATCGAGTCCCACCGTCAGGCTGCCTGCATGGGGCCTGCTTCTCCCCCTGCCTATGTCTCTCTCTCTCTCTCTCATATGAATAAAATCTTAAAAATAAATACATAAATATTTTTCAGTCAAATATATATAAAAAAAACAGGGTGCATATATGTATTCCGTTTAAAATGTTGACAAAAAACCCCAAACCAAACCTCCCCGAAGTAAGATGTCATAAAAAAATCGAAAGGATTTATTAGGACAGAAAAATGAAACCTTACATTATTATCAATGGAGTCATAAAGTAAATGAATGCACACTTTAATAGCAGAATAGCAGTGATCTGTCATTAAGGTTTTCACATTCAGTAACATATTTAACTTTGGAAAGACAATGGCACAAAACTGTCTGTAAGCACTACATATTAACCTGAAACTAATGTAACATTGTGTCAATTATACTCAAAAACCCTAACTCAAATGTTAGGTTATCATTAACATTGTAGATAAGGACAAAGACAGCAAAATTCTTTACTCTTACAACATCACCATACTAGTCTCATTTATGTTATGTATCAAATTGTAGTTTGGAAGCCAGCTTACTTATTAATACCAAATTCTATTTTATTGCACAATGTCCAGGTCAGCAATAATTATGTTGTGAAATGAAATAAAAGCAAAAACCCTTAGGAAAAATGTAGTTGGGTCTAAGCAGTTGACAGAATTTTGTTCAAATCTACTCTAATAGAAGAACCTGTCCAAACACTTTCCTTTAAAAAAAAACCTTTAAAAAAATGTGAACACTACAAAACTTGTCATTTTTCTTGAACTCAATTCTTTATGAAGTTTATTAAACTTATTAAGGAAATAAAGTGTGAAAAGATTAAAGAAAATATCTGTAATAAAAAGGATAAACATTAACATTGGCTAGTGCCAATGGGGGTGGGTGGGTAAGATCCCCCATACTGTTATAAAACTGAGAGACAGTCCCACAACATGAAAAGCATGTTCCGTGAGAAAAACCTGTTTGAAGATGGTGTATACATCAGCAAAAAGATCCCTCTGATATTCTTCCACAGATTCCAGTTCTCTTGACAGGAGTCCTCTATCTGACTCTGCAACTATGAAGAAAACATTCAACCGACAAAAGCCAAAACAGAGCATCGACATTAACAAGAGTTTACTGAAGCTTCCTCCGCAAATTTCGCATTTCCCAAAAACTTGCATAGAAGTTGTAACTTGAAAGGCTAACAATATGCTTTACCTGAAATCTTGTGATTATAGTATTTTCATGAAAAAAGTTGTCTAGTAACATAAATGGCTTCAGAATCAGTTCCACAAACAAGACAAGGACCTAAAACATCCAAACTGTTCACAGACAAAGTCCTGCTGGGAAGCAAGCTTGTGATTTCGATACGGTCTTTTGCAGGATCAGTGCTGAGCCAGGAGCTTATAAGAGACTGGTGAACATTAGCCTGGTTACTAATGCTGTGAGACAAAAAAGTACTATTTCTTCCTCCTGTGAGAAAAAAAGAGAAGGGGAAAACATCTTAAGACTAATTTTATGTTCGTAAACATCTGAAATTCTTTTTTTTTTTTTTTATTTTTTTTTTATTTTTTTTTTATTTTTTTTTTTTTAACATCTGAAATTCTATTGATATTTTTAAAAGGCTAGGATTGAAACTTAATTCTCAGAATAACAGGGTGATGATTCCATTATCACACATCACCATTTTTTTTTTTAAGATTTTATTTATTTATTCATGAGAGACACAAAGAGAAAGGGAGAGACATAGGCAGAGGGAGAAGCAGGCTTCTTGTAGGGAGCCTGATGTGGGACCTGATCCCAAGACCCTGGGATCATGACCTGAGCCAAAGGCAGACGTTCAACCACTGAGCCACTCAGGTACCCCCACACATCACCATTTTTGACCAAATGCTTATTCAGTTAAATACTCAAATTTCCATGGGATCCTATGGATATCAAATTTGAAGTCTTAAAGCAAAGTAGGAGATTTTGACCATCTTTCTGGTGATTCTTTAATGGAAAGTCTCAGAAAGGTAGCATGAAGTTAGCTGTGCAAAGTTAGCCAGCTTATGGCATTTGTAGTCATCTGCAGTATAGCAGTTAAGCAGCTGACAGATTTCAAACCCTACAATACTAGAATTTACCCTAAGGCGGGAGAATGGAAACATTCTATCATTCTTTAATGTTAAAAAATCTGAGAATTTCTAATGTGGTATTTAAAACTAAAACAAAATTATACACAAGAATCTTCATTAAATCCTTTTACCTTGGTTAAACAGTGATGATTTTTCAGGTACATCTGTGGAGGCATCCCAATGCCAGAGGGATCCATCCTCAGAACAAGTAAATAGATGATCTGGGTTGGATGGGTGAAAGTGAACTTCCCACACTAAAAGATAAGAACCAAGATGCCAATTTTTTTTTTTTTCTCCAAGAAGCTAATTCTTGTGCAGATTAGTTGAACAAACTTTAAAACCCTGTCTTCAGGGATCATCTTCATTAGCCTTCATCTTACTTTCAAACTCCATGTCTGATAAAAACCAAAGGCTTCAGAATTAAAGACAAGAAGATGTAATATAATTCTATAAATCGCTATAACACATAGATTGGATAAAGAAGTCAAGTAAATCTACTTGTGTATTAGGCCAGCAAGTCAATGAAAATAAATGCTAACCATCTGACCTATTACATTTTTTTTTTAATGGAAAAGTATGAGAATGGGAGAATTCCTAAAATATTTTTTTCAATTGGTAAGTTTCCTTATTTTCAATTCCTGTGTCATTAACATATGAAGGTTATGTTACTGGAAAAAGAGAGAAAAAAAATCATAAAAGTAACATACAAATGAATTTCTAAGCAGCAGTTCAATTTTGCTTCCTGCCAAGTTTCTGGATACTTCTGGTATATATTACAGAAAGAGCAACTAGCTCCTAGTCAACTAAAACCCAAATGCTCCCAGAACCTGGACTCAGTTTCAGATGGAGGGCTTTTAAGAATCCAATCTGGGACTGAGGATCCTTCAAGTTCTAAACTTTAAGGGAACAAAAACTTTGTGTTTGTCAAGACAAATGGGAGCCAATGACTGGCCAGGACACCTTAGGAGGTTCTCTGCAGCACACAAGTAAGCACACAGGTAGTCTGTGAACAAGGGTTCTCTGATTCTGTATTAGAACCTTAAAGAGGCAGCATAGAATGTGCCCAGGACATAGCATAGAAAGTAACAGAAGGCACATGCTTGCAAGTGGGCCATTTATTCTGACAGTTACCACAATTAAGCATCATACCACAAAACATTAAAAGGTCACCTTCCTCAGGAGGAGAGCTTTTGGGCAAATCCCTATATAAAATATATTCATGCCGTTTCATTTTTAAAAAGTGAAAGAGAATAGCCTGTAGAGCCGTAAGCAGACTATATAAACCAAGATTCTTAATTTATTTTCAAAGTAGAAAACAAACCTCCATACTAAAACATCTTATTTCATTTCTAGCTAAGTGTCAGAATGAATCAAAACAATAAAATACAATCTGTTACATTTGTATTGCTGAGCAATACAGGCTGGCAGTTAAGAAGGGGCTGGAAGAAGAGATCTGAAAGTTTGTAATTCTACTATCACTACCAACATCAGGTTCCAAGAGGACATATTCTATTTCTTTTTATTCCTTTTTCCCCCTGGGTTGGTTATAACTAGAAGAGGCAAAAAAATTTCTATCATTTTATTTGCTTCTTAAATATAATCTTAAAAATCATTTATCTTTCCAAGGTAATAATGTGAAACTTAAACTAAGAAATTAAAATGCTGGTATGCTTCTGCTTTTGTACTTTTATTCAAGCAGGGCTTAATATAAACTTCTCTTAAGTCAGAATTTAAAATTGTAATTCAGTCATGATATCAACAATAGTGGTAAAATGAAAAATATGTCTAGTCAAAAAAATCCCCACCAAAATCAAAAGATGAACAAAAAAGGGACAAGATCCTATATATACTGTTGTTTAAAAAAAAAAGAGTACAATAATAAATTGAGGAACACATAGATTGGCAAATATTAACAATGATAGCCTGCATTTAAGTGGGAAAAGGGCATCCTCTTATATGGAGTATGGCAATATAAACTTATGTATAATATTTTTATGTATTAAGTTTGATAACACGTATCAGAGCTTTGAAACTATACAAATATTTTAGCTTCCGAATTCTACTTCAAAAAAATTATCCTAAGAAAAGCACATAAAGATGAACATGTAAGGATAATTAATCACTGTGGTTTTGGATAGAATAAAGAAACATACTGAATAAGTTGTCAAATAAAAAGGGATTAGTTATTATAACATTTACATAATTCAGCCAAAACCTACAACATAAAATGATCCATATGTCTTATTACGGAAAGCTGCTTATAATACATCAGATTACCACCCAACAAAAAAGACTTGTGTATCTCCACAGCACTTACTTTCAGCTTCATGAGCCTTCAGCAGAGACACAGGCATAGTACCTTGTCTAACATCCCAAATACTCAGCATTCCATCCTGGCCACCAGTAGCTACAACATGCTGCTGGTTGGGATGTCTATCAACACAGTGGAGGGGCACTCGGTCACCAGTCCTTTTATAGGAGATATAATGACATCAAACATGTTGTGAAGTATGATTTATCTTTGCATAATCCATGAAACATATTTCACTCTAGCAACTAAATAACTTTGTGGCTGGAGCTATTGGCTGAACTTAAATCATGTCAAAAATTGGGTGCATTAAATATATTTCTAAATATTAGAATTTTGCAATGGAATTAAAGCCAAAGTTATTCTCTCTTCAATTTGGAGACATAAGGAGCACGATAATCTGATGGTAAGATGTGCAAACGTATTTCCATTTCTTGGCATTTAAAAAACTTTATGTACAACTAAACAGCATATTATTTCTTACCTGACTTAATATTTTGCGTATATAATTACTTTTTCACTTTGACAAATTCTATATTCTTTTTTTTCCTATATTCTTATTAGAGAAAATTGCACACATAAAACTTTTTGCTCAGGAAAAATATCTTGGATTGTATTTTTATCCCAATCACATCAGGAGTGCATTGTATCAGTAGAATCATTTGCTGAGCAAAATTAAATTCCCCATTAAATAATATAACTTCCAAGAGATACAGGCTCTGAATCAATATGACAAATATTTTAGTAAATATGCAGCAGAGCAGTACCAAGCTCATCAAATTATACTTGCTTTACCAAATTTAATCAGGGATCATTCTCTTCAAATGCAATTAAAATACAATATGGTTTAAAGTCAGTTGTTATAAACAATTGAACAAATTAATTGTTCACTACTAAAATTACAAATGAAAACTTACAGTGATAATATCTGAGAAGGCTCATTTCCTTGTTTTCTGAAATCCCATATTTTTAACTGCCCAATTGAATTTACTGTAAGAATCTCAGGAGTTCGAAGGAAGGTTACAGCATGGAGTGTACTGCTATCTGCATTGTCTACAAATTAAGAAAACAGTAGTGTGTGTTAATGAGTCCTGTTTCCCATTAAATTCCCTTTTTTTAAAAAAAGATTTTATTTATTTATTCATGAGAGAGACATAAGCAGAGAGAGAAGCAGGCTCCCTATGGGGAGCCGGATGTGGGACTGGATCCCAGGCCCCTGAGCTCAGGACCTGAGCCAAAGGCAGACACTCTCAACCACAGAGCCACCCAGACGCCCCTCCACAAAATTCTTAATTTGCATTCCTTCTATTGATTGAAATATTACAAGTGAACTTTTAAATAAGTCAGTTTAATTTCTATAGAAAAACGCACAGGAATATATCTGTTAAAATGGACTCTCCTTTGATAGAAAAATTATCACTTACAGAACAGCTGTTTTCCAAACAGAGGGCTGAGTTTTCACATATTTCTCTATTTCCATTTACGACTATTACCCTCCAATGCTGAGACAGCTATTTAAGTTCCTCTATTTCCAGTTTTTTATCTCCCGCTAGTGCTTAACCCAGAACCTCCCAACCTCAGTGCTTCCTATATAGCTTATTCAGAACTTGTATCATTTGGCTGACTTATCTCAAATCTATTCATCATTAGGGGCACCTGGCTGGCTCAGTTGATAGGGCATGCAACTCTTGATCTTAGGGTTCTAAGTTCAAGCCCCATGTTGGGTGTAGAGATTATTTAAAAATAAAATCTTAAGGGGCGCCTGGGTGGCTCAGTTGGTTAAGTGTCTGCTTTCGGCTCAGGTCATGCATGATCCCAGGGCCTTGGGATTGAGCCCCATGTTGGGCTCCTTGATCAGGGGGGAGCCTCCGTCTCCTCCCTCTGCCTCTTCCCCTTCTGGTGCTTGTGCTCACTCTCTCCTCTCTCTCAGATAAATGAAAATGGAATCTTTAAAAAATAAAATCTTAGAAAAAAAATCTATTCATCTTTAGCCTCATTAACTCTCTTCTCCATGAAGTCCTTCTGGATTGGTATACTGGTCCTTTACCTTTATCTAGAGGGTTTTTTTTTTTTTAAGATTTTATTTATTCATGAGAGACACACAGGCAGAGACACAGGCAGAGGGAGAAGCAGGCTCCTCGCAAGGAGCCCAATGTGGGACTCGATCCCATGACCGGGATCATGTCCTGAGCCAAAGGCAGATGCTCAACCACTGAGCCACTCAGGCATCCCTACCTAGAGGGTTTAAGCTTAATATCACATAATTTAGCATCTACTTCTTGCCTTTTGTTTTGTGACACTGCTCTAAACTCCAGGCAATGGTCCTTAATCGTTAAATAAGTGTTCTTCAGAATTAAAAATAACAAACAACACAAAAAATGGATCCATGGGCTCAATCCACAGAGGTCTGATTCAGGAGGTCTAGGGTGGTGGATCGTTAAAACTATTGTCAGGCAAGTCTGACAATGTGAAGCATAGTTAAGAACTACTAGACTAGAATAATCCTTCCAAAACATCACAGGGAGTGTATCATCCCCCTGCCTCAAGTTTCAATGGCTCCTTAGTTGCCCACCTAACAAAATGTAACCTCTGTGGTTGTGCACTGGACTCTTCAAAACCTGGCCCCAATTTAATTTTCTTGCTTATCTGTCCCCTCTCCTATGTAAATATCTAAAACTATACTTCTTGTCATTCTCTGAATGGACTTATCCTGCCTCCATTTTATTCCTTTTGTTTGGTGTGCCATCTTTTAGAATTATTTGTGGTCCAGAACCTAGTTTAAATTAATTGCCTCTTGCTCCTCAATTCTTCCATTATCCTCTCCAGTAAAAAAAAAAAAAAAAAAAAAAAAAAAAAAAATCAAACAGCTTTTCTTTTGTTGTCACTCATTCCTACATGTCTTATCAACATTTGTCTTGTAAAGGGCTCCTACTTTGTATATTATCACATCCTTCAAACACTTAGCATTACGTTTGCTTAACATCTGGTAGGTGCTCAATTATGTGATAACAAAAGAAATATATTTTGCTTACCTATGGTTCTCACAGCCTCCTTGTGATCAGCTCTAAAGAGATTTATTCGACCATCTTCTCCAACTGTGACAATTTCTGGGCTGTTGCACACAACACCTGTGCAGGGCGCACTGCTATAGGAAGGACTTCCTGGGCCTGTGTGGTAGTGAGCTGCTGTCCACTGCTGGCTGACTGACAGAGTCTAGGTTTCCAGAATGACGATATGATTAAACAAAGCGAAGCCCTAAAAACTAGCACTTTTCCCTGAATAAAGAGTATTTTAAAATCCTGGCCCACACCCTTCTAGAAAAAGAGTAACTCTCTCCTTTTTCCTTTGTATTTCTGGGCACTAAAGCCTAGAAACTACTTCCATCAAAGTTCTGTATACACTGTATTCGATGAAAAACGAAATCCTATTAATATCTCAAACTTTAAAAATATTTTATTTAAATTCAATTTGCCAACATATAACATCCAGTGCTCACCCCCTCAAGTGCCCTCCTTAGTGCCTGTCACCTAGTTACCCTATCTGCTCACCCACCTTCCCTTCTGCAACCCTTTGTTTTCCAGAGTTAGAATAATATCTCAAATTTATCTCAAAGAAATGATTGAGGTATCAGATAGTTGTATGTTCAAAAGCTACTCTAAATGCTTAAGGGAATTAGCCTACAACTAAGAAATAAATCTTTTTTTTTATTTTATTTATTTGATAGAGAGTAAGCACAAACAGGGGGAGTGGCAGACAGAGGGAGAGGGAGAAGCAGGCTCCCCGCTGGGCAGGGAGCCTAAGCCCCATGTGGGGCTCCATCACAGGACCCTGGGTTCATGACTTGGGCCAAAGACAGATGCTTAATTGACTGAACCACCCAGACACCCCAAATCTCCAGTGTTTTCTAAGTGAAACCATTAAAAAAAAAATACTTAAGAGGATTTAGGTCTTACATTTACTAGGCATGCCTATTAGGAAGATGACCTTTGTGAACCCAAAAATCTATATAAGCACTCTTTTCCAGCAACTTAAAAGTGTTACTACAAATGGGGCTACTTTAAAGGACTGCCTTACCATTGTGCTCTGAAGGTCAGTACTTGGGTTTTTATTTTTTTTAGTACTTGAGTTTTTAATACAAAAGAAAGGCATTAGAAAAAATGTCAAGTCTTCATATTATGCATCCTCTCTTCTAAGTAAAAACAAAGTTCTATTCAAAGAAGCAAAAAAACAGCTGTCCCTGTTTTCTCTCATGATACACAAGCTAGAAGGTGCTCTTTCTTTGAAAGATCAAAACAAGAACTTAGAAGAGAAAATTACAAGAAAATTACTTGCCAGAAAACTATATTGATAGCTCTGGACTAAAAGAATTTAAGACATATCTAATTTCAATAAAAGCTCACATAAACCCAGTTGAGAATTAATCTACTAAAGGATAGGTAATATGATGCCTCCTCCCTCCATATTTTGAGAGTATGAAACTTATCTGTGTCGTTATTATGTACAGTCCGGTTTAGGGCCTCCTAAAAATAAAATATAAATTCAGTTTTCAAGCAAAAATTCTTTACCTGGTTATTTGGATGGTGAAGGAAAACTGTTACACATCCTGTTGATGAAGCAGCTACAATTCTTTCCTGGTCAAAAAACTGAATAGAAAATTCTTGCTTGTTATAGATTCAGAAATATCTATAGAGAGGAAGCCCATTTGTTTAACTCAATTAGTAGTATGACAATTTTAAAATGCAAAGAGCCTCTAAGTGCTAAGCAAATAAAATGTGATGATCGATCTGAATATTCAAAACCACTACACAAATAAAAGAATTGTCATGAAGAATAATTTATCCCCCTAAACTCCTTCACCTAGAACTGATTTAATTTGGACTACTACCATAGAGGTTTAGAAAATAATCATTCTCAGGGTTATGCAGCTTTCTATAGAAGAAACTACAGGGACTCTCAAGTCCTACAGACCAGGATTTGAAAACTTAGTACCATTCCCCTCACTTTATCGGCTTTGAGACATTGGCCAAGTTAAGTTCTCTAGGCCTTTGGCAAATCTTTAAAATGGAGGAGCTAATCCCCACTTGGAAGGTTGTTATAAGAATTCAAAAAGCAAAATCATGGTAAGTGCCTTGCACAGGATTTGTCCCATAGTGACATAAAACACCTGATTCACAAGCACGTGACGAAAATTATGTTTCCTAAAGCTCCCCAAATGGTGTCTGCCGCACAGTGGATAGCCAACTAATTAAACCAATCAGAATTTTTAAAACTGTGATTAAATGCCCCTCTCCAGTTCTGATTCTGCCATTAGGTTTCTGCTACATAATGTTACCAAATCATAACCTTAGAGAACTCAGTTTCCTGTAAACCGGGATGAGATTAGACAAACTTTAAGGTCCTTTGCACCCCTAGATATATACTACCCTCAGTTTTTTAAAAGTTAGCTGTTGGATGTTACACAGACTTACTTGTAAATCCATTACATCACCATGGTGTCTGATACCACACAGTAACTGATGGTCTCCTTCAAACCCTCCATCGGAGTCCAAGTTCCCAAAATCTCCAATAGACCACAGTGAAACATAATTTTCCTGCAAGACAGAAAAGTTTTCTCTTGACATGAACTATACATCAAACTCTCCAACATTAAGATCCCGTATTGCCTTCAAGCAACCTTGCTTTAAAAGCACCTCAGATAACTGGAAGGTGGCAACTTTTTTTTTTTAAGATTTATTTATTCATTCATGAGAGACACACACACAGAGAGAGGCAGAGACACAGGCAGAGGGAGAAGCAGGCTCCACGCAGGGAGCCCCAAGTGGGACTCGATCCAGGATCTCGGGATCATGCCCTGAGCCGAAGGCAGACGCTCAACTGCTGAGCCACCCACGCGTCCCTGGAAGGTGGTAACTTAAAACACAACGAGACTCGAGGCTCAGGCACATCAACGACGGCCTCCGAGGTACGGGACAACCGAACCTGACACGGGGGACCTCGGGGGACGGAGACGGCGAGGAGCGAAGAGGCGCGCGGCGCGCTGACCGCCAGCGGCGCGGTTCCAGAACTAAGGGAGGAAGCAGGAGCTGCCCATCCGGCAGCGGAGGTACCTCATTGTCCCAAGAGCCCGCAGCGAAGGTATCCGCGGTCTGCAGGCTCCCGGCAGGTACCGGTCGCCAGCGGGTTTTGCTGATTTTCTGAGACACAAACTTTGCATAAATATCCTCCATGGCAGAAGCAACCGGGCGCGGAGGCAGCAGCAGAGCGCGCGCCTCTGAGTCCCGCCCCTTCCCGCGGAGTCCTGATTGGGCAGGACGTTACCAGGCGGACGGTGGCTGCGGAGAGCCAATTCTCGTCCTTCCGCAGTTCGGATACCATCAACCCCCCCAGCCGGAGGAGGTTAGGGAGCCCTTGCTGCCTGCGGTGGCTCTGAACAGTCTGCAAAGTCAGTATAGGAACACTGAAACGGTGCATTTGTGCAATAATTGTACAATATAAAAGAAACTTAAGAGCAGACTCAAAATCAATGCAAGAGAAACCACCTAGTAATTACACCTGAGCATTCAGTTTTGCACCACAGCCCCCATAGAAAATACTGAAAATCCTTAAATTCTCATGGAAGTACGTTCATTATTGTACAAACTTATTCTAAAGTTCTCCCTCTTTGCCTCTTAGATACTTTGCTTCAAAGTTGTTAATACACACTGTTGTAGCCTGGAGTTGGAATTCTAAAAGCTACAATTCTAGTTTTGACATCTGCTGTCTAGCTGTGCAACTTTCCTTAATTCATTTATGTATATAATTAATGAGTTTGATATGTAACATCGACAGCCTAGGAATCATGCTCTAGGTTCCTTCTTCGGTGCTTTGACTTACCTATAATAATCCTCTTATTCCTCTCTGCTTCTTAGAATCCTGGCCATCCTTCAAAGACCAGTTCCTTCCCCTACCTTTTCCTGATTTCTGCAGTGCATGAATATCTAAATAAACATAGCACTTGATATCTAGACCAGAATGGTACTTATATTTTGCCTTGTGTTGCTTGTTTTCTTTTAAGGCAGATCGCCCCAATTTATTTATTTATTTTTAACGATTTTATTCATGAAGAGGGAGAGAGAGAGAGAGAGAGAGGCAGAGACACAGGCAGAAGGAGAAGCAGGCTCCACGCAGGGAGCCCGATGTGGGACTCAATCCTGGGTCTCCAGGGTCATGCCCTGGGCCGAAGGCTCAACTGCAGAGCCACCCAGGCATCCCAGATCTCCCCAATTTAAATGTATACAAAAGATATCATTTATTTATTTATTTATTATTTTTTTCATTGTTTTTTTTTTTAAGTGTCCTTTCTACTACATTCATAGCTGTGTGTTGGTTGCTTCTTTAAATGGAGCCATGATATCTTCTTCTTAACTGACCTTGGTAGTCCTATTTCACAGCCACAGCTTACTGTAGGACCACATGTAGATCCAATTTGTGTAGGGCAGCTCTAGAGAGACTTATCAGGGTCTTGTTGAGAATAGACGATTTTATTCTTTTAACTAGGAAACATCGAGAGACGGATGAGAGATGAGATAGAAAACCAATAGAGTCCCAAACTGACCATTTTATTTCTCATATTAAAGAACACTGAGGGGCTTCCTTCGTGCAGTAGGCAGTGTATCAGTCTCTTAAAGAATAGTGCTTTGAGTGTGGTTTCATTTATGTCACAAAAAAAAAAAACAAAACAGGAAATGTACAAGTATGTTTCGGAATGGTAGTTGGCTGCGTTACACTCGACAAAATCCGGTGAGAACTGGAATTTGAAAACCGCTGCTCACGCGGTAGTGTAGAGAGGTCTTGACGTTGCTTTGTTTCCCTTCTGAACAGTTTATTGGAGTAAATGATGACTGGATTCTGTCAGAGTTCTGATTAGGAGTCAGCAAGTTGGAGGCGACGGGTAAATGTTCCCCGTCAGCTTCTCACTCATTGTCTTGCAGGGCTGATAGCGGTAAAGCTGGTGTCCAGTCTAACGGTGGCATCTGTGGGGATTAATCAGCTGAAAATGCACACTCGCGTCCGGAGAATAACGCATCCTCCATCAGATACCGTGTTAATTTTAGCCGAAAGCACTCCCACGCTGCACCCCCACTCCCTTGCCACGGTGCCCTCCCACTCTCCGAAGCTGCGCTGGAGACTTGCAACAGACCCGGGTCCCCAGCTCTCTGCTACAACCAAATACCGACGTACTTGGCACGGCGCAGAGGCTCGCGTGCTCGGGAGGGAAAGGGCTTTTGCCCCCCTGGCTCTAAGATTATCCGGGCTCCGCCAAACGGAGCTCTGACTCTCACCGACCTGAACATTAGACAAGTGGGTTGGGTGAGGCGGCACGAAGGAAGCCCACCGCCCAACAACCTGGGCAGCTATAGGAGCGGACCCGCGGCTCGCGACCGCTGACTCAGCTGCGACGACGGAGCTAGCCGCAGCGGCGTAACCAGATCCGGCAGACGCGGCGGCACGCACCGGTCCCGCCGCCCTGCCACCGCGCCGGGCGACCGAGGCCGCAGCCAGGCACGCGACCGACCGCGCCGGGGCCCACCCCGTCCGGCCGCAGGCGAGCTCAGCAAGTTGGCGGCGCGCGGCCCGAGGCCTCAGAGGGGTGGCACGCGGCGGCGGCGGCGGCGGCGGCGGCGCTGACTCAGCCCGGGCTCCCAGCCGGTCCGCAGCAGCCGCAGCAGCCACCCGAGCAGTCGGCGGGGCACGAGGCCACCCCTGCCTGCGGCCCCACCCCGCCGCACCCGAGGCCGCGCAGCGTCACAGAGCGCATGCGTGCCGCGGGGGATGCCGGGAGCGCGCAGTGGCGGCACCGGCGGCGACAGCAGTCACAGCGGAGACTCCAGCGGGGACGCGAGCGGGGCGGTGACCGTGTGGGAGGTGGTCTCACTCCTGGGGAAGCTGCTGGGCACCGTCGCCGCGCTGAAGGTGGTTCTGTACCTGCTCCGGGTGTGCTTAGCGATGGCCTGGAAATCCGGCGGCGCCAGCCACTCGGAGCTAATCCACAATCTCCGCAGTAAGTGCCACCCCCGCCCCGTGTGGGGCAACTGGGCCAGGCTAGGCCCGGACTGGGTCCCCCTGGGCCGCCCGGAACGCTCTGCCTACGCCCCCACCGGTGCGGGCTGGAGGGTACGGCGCGGGCTGGCGCCAGCAGTATCGAACGGCGTGCGCTTGCGATTGCCTCCCCCGGGACCTGTCACTCATTGGCGACGTGGACGGGAAGGGCAGGGAAGGAGCCACCGGCAGCTCGTGGTGGGGCAGGGGCAGGCGTCGCCCCACGGGCCTGGGGGAAGGGCTGCGGCACAGGTGGTGGGGCTGTCACTCGAGTCCGCCGCCTGCTCGGTCGGGTCTGGCGGGCGAGGGGCGTGCCCTGGGGGGGGGGGATGTTGGCCTGACCCGGAGGCTGAGCCGGATCCGAGGCGACCCCACCCTCGACCCCCGCGTCTTTCTCGCCTTCCTCCTCTCTGATAATCGGCCACGCTGCTAGCATTCTCTCCTTCCTATGCTGCCTCCCCCGCCCTCCGTTTTTTCCTCTGGAGGGAGATGCCACCGTCTGATACAGGCGAGGGGAGGGAGGGAAAGATGAGAGTATTGTCATTGCGGATGCTGGGAGAAATTTCTGGGGCAGCTGTCCAGTGGAGATGTTCGCGGGGGACGGAGGAAGAAAGAATCAGAAACGCTCTTCCCGAGAGACTTGTATTTTAGGAGCTTTTAGAGATCCTGGGATCCAACCAACGATTGTGTGTGTGTGTGTGTGTGTGTGTGTGTGTGTGTGTGTGTGTGTGTGGAATGTTCTAGCTTTATTTCAAGGCAGTTTCTTTATATCATTCTCTTTAGTTATTGTATTCCTTCCTTTTACGGTGATTTTAGGGTGGGATGAGTGCTGTGTTACTCTCCTGTTTTTAGGTCGAGATGCGGTGTTGCTGTCTGGTTGGGAGACCAGAAGGACCGCACTCCCTAATACCTTACTTAACTCTAGTCAGAATTCATAGCACTCTGTTTGCCACCGACTTTGCGAATAATCGTACTCTGCCCACGTGGTATTTTTTAATTGTCGTATGTTATTTAGCTTTTCTTGTGCTTGTCATGTTTCCTAATTCGATTTGTAACCTCGTCGAGGGCTAGGACTTTTTTTTTTTGATCTTTGAACTCTCTCAATACTCATTCCTTTTTTCACAAATGCAGTTAAATATACATTATATGCTTGGATCTGTGCTAGGAATACCAAGGTAAGTGAGAGAAATTAATATCCTTGTCTGGCACATGATTAGTACTTAATAGTCATTTGACTTTTTTTTTTTTTTTGCAGTATTTGAAAGTTTTGAAATTGTGTCCTTTGCATTTAGTAACGAAAAATGTTTAGATTTCAAAATTCTGTCAAGCATTGCCAGTGTTCACTTTATGGAAGGATATTTGAGTGGAAGTGGATATTCATATGCTGAGACAGTGTTTTTAAGTGTGATTTAGGTTCCCATGGATTACACATAAGCTCAGTATGTTGTAAATATTTTATTTTATTTATTTTTTATTTTTTTGTTGTAAATATTTTAATAACATTTCTTAAAATGATCTAGTGCCTGCTTTTTCAGTGTACACGTCCAAAACATTCTATGCACAAATTATGATTAAGTAATTTTCCACTGGTAAAGTATCACAGGAGATACTTGGCTATGGCAGAAATTTGTAATCATGCTCTTCATGACTCTTCTTTTGGGGCCAAACTTGTAAGTCAAAACTAGCTCTTTTCCCAGTGGTTTTATAATCATTTTATTGCATCGTGTTATTACTCCTAGCTGAAACGTTTAAGGATGTTTTTCTGTCAGAAAATTTAATAATAAGTATTTGACATACATGGATGTTAATACTGAAAATATTTAATCTTATACTGTATCCATGATTCATGATAGGAGATTAGAGTGCTCAAAATGTGTAGCCTCTTGTGACACTTGTGCAATGTTAGTTTACTTTCTGAATTCTAGCTAATAGACTTCATTTCTATTTATTAGTTTATTATGAAAGTACTATTTTCTCATGTGAGAATTTCAACTGGCACAAAATTTGAAAATTTCTCCCTTTTCCTAGTTATTCTACTGTTGTGTGTTCCTCCTAACTTAAAGGCTTCTAGTTGAATCTTTAGAAAAAGATTAAAGTGTGATTATATCGTGGAATAACTATATTGTACCCTTAAAACTAATATAGTGCTAAACTGTTAACTATACTGGAATTAAAATAAAAGACTTAAAAAA